AATAGGAGCTAACCAAGTGAAGTAGTCAGAGAAGAATATTCCAGACAGAAAACAGCATGGGTCAAGGCCTCGAAGTGGGAAGGAGTAAGGTAAGTTCAAAGCCCTGAAATATAATCAATGTTGCTGGATGAAAAGGAGGAGAAAAGGGACAGAGATGTGTGAGATGATGCTGGAAATTAAAGGGTAGGGAGCAACCTTTTTTGGGCATTTTAAAGGATTTTGGTCTGTATTCTAAAATAGAAGCAAGTTAAACAGCAGGAATTTACACAGATACAGAACTATATTTAGTTTGCCTTTTTTTTTTTTCTCACAGCTTTGTTTCTTTGGGGTTAATACCGAATAATTTTACTTACCCCACTTTGTATTCACTGGACACTAGATTGAAAGGCACAGAGAAATATTTCATGTTTCAAGATTTGGGGTATATCCTGCCAAGTTGCCCTAAAGAAAGCTTGTAAAATTTATTTTTCCACCAGTAGTGTGTGATACACCTTGATTCTACAAACTTCTCCAACATTGGGCATTGACATTCAAAAAAGATTTCTAATACAGAAGAACAATGGCATAATTATTGCTTAATTGTGTATATTGTACTATGAATATTGAAAAATCTAAATGCATATATGCAGTTTTGTCAGATTGTTTAAAATATTTTTTGAAAATATTTTAAGTATTTAAGTCAATATTTACAAAAAAATTTGTCCCATTAATTTTTTTTCTGTTACTTCCAAAGAGAATTATAGCATTTTAACAAAATGAGTTAAACAAGTTGTTCAGCTTCAGGTAAATGTGAGCCAGTACCAAGAAAAGACTTTTAAGGTTGGAATAATTGAGCTGGTAGCTTACTTTCTTCAGCGTATACAATAAATTAAATTTACCAATAATCTCAGTTGGTTCACCATTGTTTCTTGCATCCCAGTCCTTTCTCTGAGTGTTTTTTTTTTTTTTTTAAGATTTTTAAGTAATCTCTATACCCAATGTGGGGCTCAAATTTACAATCCAAACATCAAGAGTCACATACTCTACCAGCTGAGCCAGCCAGGCATTCCTGGATACTCTTCTCTTTTTATTGAAGTACACGATTTAGTGACTCTTTCAGTTTGGGGTTTGTGGGCAATACATTTCTTAATCTTTGCATGTCTAAAACGGTCTCTGTCTTTATCTTGCGTTTTTTTCTTGAATAATATGTTATTTACCCTCGATCCTAAGGAGATGTTTCTCCATCATCTTCCACCATTATGGTATCTGCTGTCTTCTGATACCTACTGTGTGCTGTCAGTCTTACAGTAGGTCCTTGGTAGGTTACCTGTCTTTAGTCTCTGGTAGCTTTTAAGATTTTATCTGTAATAGGTTATCAGAATTTCACTATGCCCTTTTTATTTTGCTTACACCACTTTGTATTCACTGAACGCTTGAAAACTCATGTTTTTCTTCAGTTTTAGAAAACTGTCAGCACTCACCCTTCAGATAGGCCATTCTCTCCATTTCCATCTTTGGGGACTTCTCAACTCCTCTTTCTGTGTTAACATGTCTTTATTTGTCCTCCTTGTCTCTTAGCTATTTTCCCGTGTTTTTAATCTCTGTCTTTGCTGCCTTCTGAGTGAGCTCCTTGCTACTGTCTTCTAACTCACTGACTCTATCTTCAGTCATGTCCAGTCTAGAGTTAGGTCTGCGAAGACACTGGGGTTTACTTCTAGGATTTCTCATTTTTCTCTTACCCACTTGTTCTTCTTTCCTCTCCGCCTATTTTTTTTTTTAATAATTTAGAGTTCTCTTGATAGATATTATTCTTTGATTTTTTTCAGTATCTTAAACATATTTCTTTTAAACTCATTTGATCCAGGTTTTTTGTTTTGTTTTGTTTTGTTGAGCTTTCCATAGCTGGTGGAGCCCCACTCAAGTCTCTGGTTTTGGTTACCCTGGTTCCTGTGTTCTGTCACGAGTGGAGCCAGTTCTTACCTCTCTTGCCCTGTGGAAACTAAAACTTCTTCTTACGTCTGTTGGTTTTTAGATATGGAGCCCTTCAAGCTTACAGCACCAGCTGTAGCAAAACATACGCTTTGCTCCATCTTCTGCACCATCTGTCTGTTTTCTACTTTCTCTCATATTTTTTTTTCCTCCCATTCTTTTTTGTCCTTTTGGACTTACACCTCTTTATTCATCTGGAGTCATCTGGATAGGTTTTCAGGAGGGAGCCAAAATGAGGGCATGTGTTCAGTCCACCATGTTTAACTGACAGAGCAGGTAGTAGTTTTAATTTGCAACATTTCAGTACAAAATGATTAGTAAATTTGTTAAATCTTATAGCTTATTAGAAAGCCTAACCAAACACTAGCATGCCATCTAATCTTTATTCAGGCTTATAAACTATAGATCAATATTTTATTTTTCAAACTTCTAGAGGGATTTATACCTTAACCTTTATCAATTACTATGCTGTTTTTGATAGTTGGTTGCAAATACTTTATATGATTTAGTGAGTGAGATCCTCTTCAGTATCTAAGCCATTTAGGAAACAGTTTATAAACCTCGTTGAGGCCCCAGTGCAGATAAACATCTTAAAGAATACATTCCCAGTGCTTTTGGGAAGATCGCAGACTGCTGATTTACTGACTGTGAGCAGTCACAGGCTTGTTCTTCAATCTGTGTATTTATAGTGACTTGTTCAGCAAGTTCCCAATCTTCTGAGCTTATTTGTCTGAGTCACGGGATAATGAACAAGAACAGAATGTCAGATAAGATCTCCATCAATAATAGAAAAAATATACACGTAAGCTGAATAACATTATCATGGTAGTGGCATGAGAATCTTTTTTTTTTTAATTTCTAGATTGTGTGGTTTGTGTACCGAAGAAAAAATTTCCCACTATGTCCTCATTTTGTATGATTATCATGTGACACATATTAGTCATCCTACAAATACTTATTGACTGAATGAGTGAATTATGGATTGGGGTTCCAACTCCGGCCTCTCTACTTCTGCTATATATTGCCTTGAACCTGACCTCACTTGATGACAGTGACTCTACCCACATTTCTCTAGCTCTGTGTTCCTTATGCTCCGGCCTCATTTCTGCTTCATGGGGAGCCCAGGGAAAGATGGTAGGATAGTGCATATTCCATGAAATTGTAATGTATTCTTTGTACATGGCTGTTGATCGAAATATTTTCTTTGTATAATTGTTCTTCTGATCATAAAATTATATGTACTTACTGCAGAAAAGTTGTACAATTTAGAAAAGAATGAAAAATTTTTTAAAAATCACATATGATCCAGAGATAGTTGGTTAATATTTTGTTTGCTTCCTTGTGAAATTTTAATGACTATATATGCATCAAGGTTCGGTCAAGAAAACAGAAACCACTCTAAGTATTTTAGCAGGAAGGGATTTAATCCAGGAAATTAGAGTTTGTAAAACCATTGGCAGATTTGGGGAAACAACAGAAGGAAACTGCTCTTGGCTCCCAGGAAAGTAGGATGTACAAGAATCACAGAAAGGAGACATTGATAATATTAGCTACGTGTAACATGGAAGTAAGTGATTTGCAGGAGTGTGCCTGGAGGTGGCCGTAGTTTACCACATGGGCAGTTTACCACATGTCTGCCCGCCCCTGCCGGGGGAGTGTAAGTGCCACTCATTGGTGGGATCTGAGTCAGAACCCGGCTGGCAAGGTTGTTTGGGAAGTACAGTCTGTGGGCTTCTGCCCCTTTGATACAGAGAGCGTTCACAAGAAACAAAAATGCTCTGTCAATTCTGAGCGATCCATATATATAACCCTTTCCCCTTGTCACCAGTCCTCAAATTGTCTTTCTTCTATGGCTCTCACCATTAGCCAATGCCCATGAACATCTGGCCGTGTTTTATTCTAGGCAAAATGAATCCTCAGGTACATTGTTTGAACTTCTGCCAACTGTGAGGGTTTACCTTCCTTGATACCCTTGAGGGCCACTCCTGAGTGGGCTTTGAAGTATCAGCAGTCTTCTTCTGGAAGGTGTCATTGTATTGGCACCTTCCGTCGACCAGGTCTGACTCTTCCTCCTTTGGTCCACCTGGTCCTCAGGAACTCCTCAAGAGGCCATTTGTGTGAGTTGAAGGAAAGTTGGCAGTAGCAAGAGTATATGCCACGGGAGTCTGGGCTCATGCAATTTACTTATCCTTTGGGACCTGTTTAAGCCTGATGGCTTTGTATCCCTTCCCCTTGAAGATGGCATGTGGCTCATATGCCTCCCTTTAAAGCTTGGTGCTCATGACAGACTGCCCAGGTTGCATGGTTACTGAATGTCCCATGCTTCAGCATGTAGTTTCTACCAGAGCCCAGTAGCAAGCCAACAGCTACTTCTCAGAGCAGGATGATTGGGTTGGAACGGGGCATGACTTTGCTCCGTATTCCCAGGGGGCTATTCTGTGACTCTGCTGTTAGGGTTTGACAGAGGTCCCCCACACAGCTTCCCTGCCACAGATACTTTGAGCACCATCGGAACTGCCAAATTCTCAGGCCCCAGGAGCAGAGCAGCTAGGACTCGCAGCGCAGCCTTCTCCTGCTCTGGACCCCACTCAAAGCAGGCAGCCTCACAGTGGTAAAAGGTTAGGAGCAGTACTTTCAAATGTGGTAGAAGTGGCCTCCAAGATCCAAAGAAGACCCAAAGAACTTGGAAGGACGGAGGTGGTACCAGAGAGTAAAGGCCACATCCAGCACACTCTATAAGCCTTTTGTCATTGGGCTCTCACCGCATGTACAATTTTGTACTCATGAGCGCTGTAAAGCCTTTGCTACTTTGATGGTTTCATCCCTACTCTTATTAAGCAACATCCCTGTGGTTTAACTTAAAAACCAATATGAGGGTAGCTCTCTATATTCCTGTGAACCTCTATGTAAAAGAATGAGTCAGAATAGTACAGTTTCTTGGAGTGGGGTCATGCATTTTCCAGTACGTCAAGAAGCTTCAGTGCTTGTTTTTAAACTTTAATAAGAGTTAGCTTTGTTGTTTGCCTGGACAGATGTGACGCCAGCATAGCCAGACTCTCTGCAGAGCACAAAACAACTTACGAGGGGCTCCAGCACTTGAACAAAGAACAGCAAGCTGCCAAACTTATCTTGGAAACAAAAATCAAAGATGCAGAGGGACAGGTATGGCCGATTTCAGGTAGCCTTTTAAAAATAGGTAATTTGTTCTTAGCTAAGAATAACATGGTGTTGAGAAACCAGCCAGAGCTCCCAGAATGTGCATATCTTTTCCTTTTTTTTTTTTTAAGATTTTATTTATTTATTTGTCAGAGAGAGAGAGACAGCGAGAGAGGGAACACAGGCAGGGGGAGCGGGAGAGGGAGAAGCAGGCTTCCTACCGAGCAGGGAGCCTGACGCGGGGCTCGATCCCAGGACCCTGAGCCACCCAGGCGCCCCGAATATCTTTTCCTTATTTCTTCCTCCCTCTGTCTCACTGCAGTGGCCCTTCATGGGCATGGCAAGCAAAGCACCGAGAGTTTTTGGTACGGTCCTACTTTTAAAGATTCTTTCCCCCATTCCTAAAACAATGACTGTATTACAGAAATTCTAAATTATAGCTCCAAAACTACTTCTTGCATAGGTAAGTGATCAGGCTTTCTTTCTTTCTTTCTTTTTTTTTTTTTTTAAAGATTTTATTTATTTATTTGACAGAGAGAGTGAGAGCAGGGGGAACAGCAGAGGGAGAGGGAGAAGCAGACTCCCCGCCAAGCAGGGAGCCTGACGCGGGGCTCGATCCCAGGACCCTGGGATCATGACCTGAGCCGAAGGCAGACACTTAACCACCTGAGCCACCCAGGCGCCCCCAGGCTTTCTTTTATAGGCCACTTGTCCCGAGTTTTGGTTCAGGAAATAGTTACTGCACCGGGCCTCATGCTGTGTGCTACCTCATCACAGTCCTTTGTGGGAAAGGATTCAGACAAAGCTAGAAGGTAGGCTGGCTGATGAATCTTAGAGTAATCCACCTTGAAATTCACAGATCAATTTCATAAACCCAAACTCTTGGCATTTTACAGTTTGTTTTTTGGCTACTTAAAAGTTTCCCTTTGCCATAAAGGGGCCTGTTTTCTAGGGTTTGCTTCACAGTATCTGCCCTGCTTGCTATTCTTCATGTAAAGAGAGACCATTCCAGTAAAATGGGACATCTGGTCAATTTATTGGATTCAAAGTACTCATGTCCAAAATATATTCAATAAAGGTCTAAATCTACTTATGTGAAAAACATAGATATTATAAAGCCATAAAAAAACACCACAACAAAAACAAGTCCAATAATTTTTTTCAAAGAATGAGTGAGGACAGAATTATCACATCAGGAAATAAATGCTTAGGAAATAATAAGCTTCCCCAGTAGCCAACCCAAGTAAAATACATATAGAAATCTATAAAAAGAGATATACTTTTCCTTTGTTCTGGGTCTAATAAATACTCATTCCATGAATTTCTAAGTAAGGGAATATAGAACATCATAACTTTTGCAGCAACTAAACGCATTTCATATAGGATTAGTTTTATATTAAATTTTAGTAGAAAGATAAGGGAAAGGGATAGGTAGTGAAAAAAATGAGTTGGAGGGATATAATTTACAAAATCTGTTTTCTGGGGACTTGACTAGATATGGAGGTAAATCTGGTACCTTAATGGCACTTTAAGTGATAAGAGTTCCATTCTCTGTGACTAGCAGCCACGCTCAGGTAGAAATTCCAAGGTAAAAAAAAAAACAACAAAAAAAACCCCACTGTATTTTGTGCCAGCAGGTGGACATAGTGTTCCCAGGGAGGAAGTAGGCTTGTTTATCAGAGAACTATAGAGTTAAGTACTCAGAGTCTAATGAATATTTTGGCAGTGTTCCTAGTCCTGATTTTTGATGAGTGTGTATGATAGGAAATGGAAGTGGAAAGACAAGGCAAGCTCCTAAATGAATTGATTAAATTATATTGAATCTTAATGTCATGGAGTAGAATACAGCTTACTGAATGTTATCTGAGGTTACCTCTGAAAAGATTAGATGTGATATTACAAGCAAAGCTTCTTTCCCAGATTTCTCAGCTTTTGAACAGAGTGGACTTGTCGATATCAGAGCAAAGCACCAAATTGAAGATGTCCCACAGAGACAGTAACCACCAGCTTCAACTTTTGGATACAAAGTAAGTAGTCAACTTACAGACCTTTTTTTTGGGTTGAAGTTCTTGAGAAGCCTATTCCATAGTCCAGTTTTTTTGCCTCTTCATTTTTATTCATTGCACAAAACAAAGTGAAAACAATAATGGAAGTTAAGAGGAAAAATTCCCTTGGAGCATACTGCCACTTTACACTCATTATTGATTTTAGTAGTTGGCTTATAATCTGTCTAGTCATTCAGTAAATATATGTTGAGTGCTGGCCTAGGTGCTGAGCATCCAGAAATTAAGAAAAACAGACTCTGTTCCTAACCTTGTGGAGTTTGTAGTCTAGGGAGTGGATGAGCCCTCATCAAATAATGACTCACGTGAGTGTAAGCTATATTATTACTAATGGTGACCATCACTTTAAAGGAAAGGTACATGGATGTGGTAGGCTGAATAATTGTCTCCCAAATATCACCATGTCCTAGTCCCTGTGAATATGTTACCTTATCTGGCAAAAAGGGACTTTGCAGATGTGATTAAGGATTTTAGGATGTGTAGATTACCCTGGGTTACCGGGGAGACCCTGTGTAACCCCCGGAGTGTCTGTGAGGGGGAGAGTCCTGAGAGAAGAGCACATGATGATGGAGGAAGAGATGGGAGTGATGCACTTCGAAGGTGAGGAAGGGGCCACCAGCAGCTGAAAACAGCAAGGCAGTGATTCTACCCCCCCCCCGAGAGCTTCCAGAAGGAACCACCCCTGCTCGCATCTCAACTTTAGTCCAGTGAAACTGATTTTAGACCTCTGACATCCAGAACTATGAAAGAATAAGCCACCAAGTTGTGGTAATTAGTCATCGCAGCTGCAGGAAGCTAATACAGTGGTGCTCTGAGAGCGAATAACAGAGGCCTGGTTGTGGGCCCTCCTTTCTCAGGAGGCAGTGCTTGAAGTAAGAGCTGAAGAATGAATGGAATTCACTAGGTAAAGAGGGAGGTAAGAACATTTGGGACAGAGGAGTGCAGCATCCAAGGAGCTGCAAGCTGGCCCACGGTGGCTGGAACAGAGAGGGTGGGGAAGCAGGGGCTGGGGCAGAGGCCGGCCTAGGGCAGGGCCTTGTATACCACATGCAGGGCTTTGGTCTCTGGCTTTCGCACAGTAAGGAGCTGCTGCAGGGTTGGGGCAGATGGGGTGAGAGAATAAGATTTATATACTATTTTTAAATGGCCTTGGTGATAATCGGAAAATGGACCGGGCCGAAGCAGAGATGGGGACATCAGTTGGGGGCGTGGTTGCTGTAGTGCAGGTGGGAGAGGTGTGCGCTAGGGTGATTGTGAGCGTTCCAGTTGGCACCCTGTAATGGGTTATACTTTCCCATTTTGTTACCGTGACGCTTTAAACTGTACTTGCCCACGGTGAAGCTCATCATCGGCCCTTCTGCTCAGTCACAAAAGCATTCATCTTTTCCTATCATGAATCTTCATGAGCTTGGCATTTTCCTGCCAAAGCAGAGCCAGTAGTCAGTGTGTGTGTGTGTGTGTGTGTGTGTGTGTGTGTGTGTGTGTGTGTG